ACAGGCACAGGCCAACACGGGGAAAAAGTTTCTAATACACTCGCAAAGAATAACTACTGGTGGACAAAAGAGCACTTGTGTTTTTATTCTTTCCTTTTCCTGCTTCCAGGAAACTTTAAATAGATTGATTAGGGGCATGTATGGGATCTCTCTCTAATGAGCTAGTGGAGCCATTTAATGGCGAGGTGATGCCAGCCTTGGATTTTTTCTCTATTCTTGAATCTCACTGAATGTCAGAGTAGTCATGGTCTTGAGTCTGGGACAGGAATTGGGAGGAATATAGTTTTCCACTTGCTCATCCAGAAGGTGCTGGATGGGATCACGCCTCGTTGAAGCACCAGGAGCAGAGCTGAGCTGTCTAAGCAAGGCTGCCCATCTCTCTCAGGAGGGAAACCAGCAAGGGTGGCTACTGACTAAGTGCAAATATTCCCAGCCAAGCTGGGATTTGCTTCAGTAATTACCTCTACGTCCGTCTTATGACTCAATATGAGGCAAAATGACTCTTGGCCAAAGCACAAGTCGCTGAGAGGTCTAGGGCATTCGGGCATGTGTCCTCTACCTGTTGGAATGTGTCACAAGCAGGTGGGCAGTTTTGTTCTCTGTCTTTTACGTATTTTCTAGAGAACTCAAAGGACTGTAGTTAGCAACAGATGCAGGAGTAGGAAAGGGTTTCTTTTTCTATAATACTAAGCAACGACATCCCTGCCACCAGGACCAGCAGAGAGTGCTATGCATGCTGGAGATGATAGCACATGACTGAAAGGGATGTCCTCTCTTTTCTGAGCCTAGGGGCAAAATCCTCTCTTCTTTCACACACGCTCAAAATTCAGACCACCGTCCATGTACCTCGGCCTCCGATAATTAGGGAACCCAAATATTTGGCTCGTGGTAAAAATTTTATGTCTTCTAACAAGGCGAACAGCGTTCCCCTAGGTCCCACTCTCTTTGAGCTGTGCTGCTATGACAGTAATGCGATTGTCACTGCCATGGTATGCTTAACCTTTGCCAAACCAGAGCTGAGGCATTAACTCAGATCCTCAACTCACATGTCTTAAAGGGCAACATAACCTGTGCTGCCTCCGCACTGTCGGACTGACACAGTTTGCAGCTCAGTAATAATAAGCACGTAAATGTGACAAGCATAAGTCGTAACAATGATTGATGTAAATAGAAAAATAACAAAGAGAAGCTGAAAAAGAGCAATGCGGTGGAATTCCTAGGAGCGACGTCTCTGTGGCATCAGCAGCCTGGTACTCTGACACCAGGAGAAAGGCTACGCTCGTCTGTGGTAGGAAGGATCTCCGTGCCACACAACAAAATTCCAGCAAACAGGACAAGGACTGATGGTGTCTGGAAGTGGTAGTGCCACTGCTACCCGGATAACAGTCTGAATTAGATTATATGAAAAAAGAAGGAATATATAGACGGCCAGCTGCTCAAAGGCTTACTACAACCTTGCTTTTATTGTTCTGCTAAGTTAGAGGTGGGGCATCAGAGGGATTCCTAACATACCACTACTGAGAAATTTTAATATGTTCCACACTGACACATATAAAAAGGAAATAACAGCTGATCATAGTCAGCAGAGACTGCAGCATCTCTTCATATGTCTGCACAGAAGCGTGGGCAAAGTGGGGTGCTCTTGGTCAGGGAGACCCAGGCACCCAAGCTAATCTGGCACCAGTTGAATCTTTCTCCTGCCATTGAGATGAGCCTCAGTGAGAGGTCTGTACAGTGGGAAGCAAGGCAGCAGAAAAAAAGGTGATCTGCGCATGGCTACTCACCCCATCCCGAGATAGCAGGACGTGTAGAAGTGCAGGGGAGCTGAGAAGCTGCACATGTAACACTGATGAAAAGAAACACGTGTTTACACAACCGACAATGATCCGGTGGAACAAGATATCACAGAGGGCAAAAGTTTAGCTGGGCTCAGCGAAAGGACCTGTTATATACAGGAGGGTTACAGCCACAAGGTTGGTTGTTGGGCTTTTTTTTAAGAAGTTTTTGGAAGGGCTCTAAGGACTCTGAGAGTTCAGTTGATGGGGTTAGGGAAAAATCCTTCACCACAGCAGGTTGCCCTGTAGCTGCCTGCCATGGGGTCTCTACGTCTTTCTTTGATGTGGCCGCGTCCAGCCACGCTCAAGAGAGGGATTACTCAAATAACATGGGACTGTGGCATCGTCTCATGTAGCAAAACTTTTCTAAAACTCATAGAGACAAGTGTATCCTCATACTCAGCAGGATATTAGAGGCAGAGGAATTAGTAGTATTTGTAATACAACTACTTAATATTTATAATTGTAACTACAATGGTAGTGTTTGGGAAAAAAAGGTGTTTTTTTTCCTCCTACTTTCAGTTAAACAAATAATCTGCCAGACTTGTTGTAAAACCAAGTGTCTCAGTGGCTTCATGCAAGCTGTTCACCTTAGAGAGTCAACTCCCTTCAAGGTCCAAGAACAACCTTGAGTACTTCCTCATGCATCCGACAGCAGACAAACCAGGAAGGGGATACTATTGGCCCCAGGGAAAATGAGAGTGAAGGAGAACTTCCCCAGGGAAGGAGAGCGAAGCTGACTTCAGGAGGAGTCCCTGCCGAAAGAGTCACCCCAAGGAGGTGGCTCACTTCCCTCCCACCTGGGCAAAAGAGACTGCAATCCTGGCAACTCAAGCAAGCAAGAACATACAGATGCTATCACAAGCCTCAATAGCCCACGAGGGATTGTTCCGGTGGGGCAGATGGCTTTTGTGGAGATCAGCCATGCGTAGGTAGCTACCTGGGGTATTGCTAACTGCAAACCGTACATAAGACTGTCTATAGCAACTATTCTGCTCTGCAAGGGGGAATCATCAGTGTACATGCATCTGATCAAAACCAGGCACTGAGCAAACCTGGAAAACCTACATAAGACACCTTCAGGTAGAAATCAGAGCTTGTAACTAGAGTAATCAGCAGCAGCCCCTAATTTTACCCCTTCACTAAATCAAATTGCATTGTAAGCTTGAAACATCTATTCCTTCCACATTTGCTTTTAACTGAAAAATCTTAAAGCATGTTCTTATAATACCAGTATTGCAAATAAGATTTCATTATTCCAGCAAGAGTATGTCAATGTATATATAAGACACTGGGAACCCCTGATTCAAGTTGGTAAGTAATTACTCACCAAAGAGTGCTATTTAGGTCAAGGGGATTAATCATGTGTATAACTGCTCACAGATATGAGTACGGTCCCACAGCCTGAGCAAAAGAGAGCTCATCAGTAATTCACAAGAAAAAAAAAAAAGAGGTCTTAAAATGTAGATGTTGTTTTGAGGAGGGACAAATAACAGCACTGTGATTATTACGTCCACATTTATTGACTCCACCAGACAACTGGGTTGCTTCTATTAGAAAATAACTTCACAATAGGGAACTGGTTCAAAGTGAATTTGGCCCCACTGTTAGTCTTAAATAACCATTTGCCTGTCTTTTGCCAGTATGTAGAGTTCTCAGCTCTCAGCCACTAGGACAGTTACAAAGCTTTAGGAATGGTTAGTTACATTTAGCATATAGGAAACATTTTTTCCTCTTTAAAGAGCAGCAGAAACCTTAACAAGTTACTTGTCTGCTGTCTGTCCCAGGCAGAACAATTAAGACATGTTAGGGGGAGGCTACAGGACAAAATGTAAAAGAACTTAAGGGGTAGCATAAGAAATCTTCCTGACAGCCCCACAAGAGTCAGTCCACACATGCTGTCTTGCAAATTCAGATGTGCCACAAGAAAATTACCCCCCCAACGCACACTCTGTGTAAGTGTGCTCTACTGGCACTACAGCAGTGAGCCAATGTGGTACTGAGACTGCTCTTCACATGGTTCAGATTTCTTACTGTTTTTTTTGTTACTGGACCCCTTCATTTGAACTTCTATAGGATAAATTCACTCACCTGAATCCTAGCAGGGAGATGAGGCTTTCTTCCTCAGCCGGGCTTGCTTGGGGCAGTGTCCGTTCCCGTGCCCCACAGTGTCACTACACTGACACTCTACCGCTGGGCTCGTACCAGTGAAACTCTTCTTTTGTCCCAAAGACACAGAAAACAGTTATGCTCGTGCCTCTGACGGCGATACGCAGCAAAATGATCTGCCAGCAAACGAGGAGAGCCTCCCTCTCTCCTTCAGCAGGCGGTCTGGGGTCCTGCAGCATCCTCCCGTGTCAGCTACCGACTGCCCAGCCACACTGCCTTGGGTGTCACGCTGACGGGGTCGGCTACCTACTAAATATACCCCTCGGCATTACAGCGAAGGCAAACACTGCGGTTTTCCTCGTAGATTTCAGCCAATCAAGAGTGTATATTAAATCTGTTCTAATCCAGAACCAGTGCTGTCCAGTCTGTAGTAAAGCTTCCCAGAAGTCTGGGTAAATAATAATGTGCAAATTCAGAGTGCTCCTGCGAGGCATGACACTGAAAGCTAGAAATAAATATTGCCTGTTGTTTCAAATTATTCTAAGCACTCCGGCAGATGACTGGCAAGAGAACAGCATGCATAAGTAGTGATAAAAGTAAACAGTCCAGCTTTAAACTAGCAGGCTTGCCTGCATTCATAGAACCCTATTGTAGTGGGACAAAGAGGGTGCTGGCGATACCGGCTCTCTCTCGATGAATTCAGGGCAGAGTCCAGCACGTCCATTCACTCCAAAGCCATACAGCCAGGACCAGCACGGAGCTGCAGACATGAGCCCAGCACACTCACAAGAATAGATGTTTAACCAAGTTGCTCAGAAATGCACTGGGCTGCCTCTTTGGCTGCGTACAGACATCCTTCAGACAGGAGAAACAGTTAAAGATACAAAGATAAGGAGGAGACACAGGTACTAGAGCTGTGTCGATTCTACACCAAGACATTTTAATTTAAAAAATGGCTCAAGGAGAACATGTGTTTGTCAGATAAAAAGATTAAGCATTCAGTTTAAGTCCATGTAATACTCAAAATCCAGAGGAATCTCTTATTTGTGTACTTACCTTTGGAAAATGCACTGCTTCTTCCTCTCCTCAAACTCTTTGGAGAGCTAAAAAGAGGTCCTGTTACTTCCAAATGCTTTTGTTCTTCTGTCCCTCTGTCACATGGCTTGCCTTTTATATTTGCAACACACAAAAGTTAGGGCTGTTGTTTAAGAGAGAGAGGGAGAGAGAGAGAGGGGGAATGTCAAATGGAAAAGTGCCATTGCAGTCATATATCAATCAGGGCAGCGGCAGCAGCAGCTCGCTGGCAAATGGGAATTCCACAGAAATGTGAAGCTCTTGTTATCTGAGAAATCACAAAACACCACCAGCCAAGCTCCCCTCTGCAGGGACTTCTCATTATTGGCAAGCCAGGAAATAGAAGGAAATGTAGGAGCTTTTTTTGTTGTTGTTATTGTTTCAGATCTGGAGATACGGACGCTGTGGCATATGTAAACCAGTGGAATAGAAATCCTGAATTAAATTCCTTCCTAAACAAATGCACTGTGTGCAAGATAAAGCAAACCACTGCGAAGCATGGTAATAGAGCTAAGTGAGGAATCTGAAAGTAATGATGTAGAAAATTTGATATCTGTTTGTACTTGGAAAATATCCATAGAGAAACTGGCTTTTCCCTGGATTACTCATTAATCTCCTTTTTTTTGACAAGTTTTTCTTAGAATTTTTTTAACTGTGATTGATCTCAGATATCCTTAATTCAAGCTGTGCTGCTTCACTACAATTGGTCACCTAAATCATCTGACATTCCCTGACTCTCCAGTTGGGTAAGTAGACAAGCATTTTCTGCATAAATACTTGTCTGCAAATCTGCAGTTCCGATGCTTCAGGTAACCTGCCCCGAAATCCCGAAGTTCCTCTCAGATAAACTCAGAAGTTTGCTCACAGAAGCAAACATTGTCTTTCTGCTTTACCCACCTTCCTCTGAAGACTAAACGGTTATCCTTCAAACCTTTTATAGAAATACTGTGATTTTATGAAAAAAAACAAACATCTAATTCCCGGAGAGGCTGAAGGCAGTCTCCGTCCATCAGAAAATCCCGCTTACAACAAGCACACGGCAGCTCTGGATGCACCAAACCCTCTTCTCCACTTTCCGCGGAGGAGCATATTTCACTTCCCTTTGGAGTGCCCCCTAGTTGTCCTGCGGCAGTACGGGAAGCACAGACCTTAGCCAGTTAATTAAAAAATAGGCGACATAGCTGGCCATTCACAAGCTGGATCTGTTCAGAGGCACTGGCCAGCAGATGGACAGGGTCCTGTGTCGATTGTGTTTGAACTCTAAAGGAAAGTTGGTATTTGATGGATGATGTTATTAGCTAAATGTCTTATGTGGTATAAGATCAAAGAACAGATGGAAATTATGCCTTAAAAATAGAATAATCTAAAAGGGGAATGGCTTGTAGATGAGTAAGCATCATGGAAACAATAAAGGAGACATTCTTTGGCTTGCTTTGCTGCAGAGCCAGGTTTGGTGGGTGAGATAAACAAATGATCCACTCAGGACCAAGATTCTCAGGATGTGAGTTTTGCTGCACGTTTTTTCCCTCATATCCAGTGTTTACATTGATTTTCCTCTTAAGTCAACTCTGGGTTTCCCTCACCGATAATATGTGTACCAGCTCCCTGCCTCCCTTGCAGATGCCACTGCAAGTTGCCCAGGGTGGGAGATGGCAGAGCTCACCAGCATCTTTGCCTCTTTGCAGCTGCAGGCTCAAATGTCACTGATGGTCTGACACTGCCCTTACCTTGAACAGATAGACTACACGTAGCAATGTTTTTTAATTTAGCCAACACTCTCTTTTAAAACTAAGGTTATCGGCCCTTTGGTCATTATGCTGCCAGGTTGTCTCTCTTTTTCCATGGGAAAGAAAGTGGCTCACATACTCCAGTTGCTTGTGCTAAGGACCTGACATGTGCAAGACAAAAGCGTGACTAAGTAGCTCCTGGACTAAATTGTCCAGGAGACAGTAGATGTCCTACTCACAGTGCTTTCTGAAAATGATGCTTAAGTTTTTTACTGGTGCAGCTTAGATTTGTTATCTTTGTGTCATCTACAAGAGACAATACCTGCATTAGTTGTTTGTTGGGTGCTAAGCATACTTCAAATACTCAACAATTAACAACAATACCTCAAACAGTGGTATTTTTGAGAAGTAGTGCTCAGCAGCTTGTTACCACAGCTACAAATTCTTAATACAGGAAAATCTGAAGATATTGGACTAAGAATTTTTAAAAAAATTCAAAGTACTTTTCAATTTTTTATCTTCAGCTTCAAGACCGTGGTTGACAGTAAATGGGAATTAATTGGCAGTTAATTGACCTCATAGGCTGGTAACTTATAAACTGACGCTCTCATTTGTGGCTTTCTGAATGAACCTACGCACGATCACAAACACAAAAGTAGAAGCATCAAATGTAACCTCCCCCCACCTCAGGAACACTATGGCCCATAACTTTTTCATAGCTGTTCATAAATCCTCATCCTCTTTCAACGACTGTGACTTAATCCCACCCATAAAAATAGTCATTTTAAAGAAACAAATAAAAGCAGAAAGCACAGGAGCTCAGAGCTCAGTTTTCAAAGATGATTAAACATCTGAGACGTCCTCAGATATTAGATAAGATTTCCAGAAGATCTGAGGTATCCTGCTCCCAACAGTTTTGATCTGAGTTCCCTTCAGAGGGAGTTTATCTCACTTAGCAGTAGTTGCCTGAAAACTAAGTTCAGGCTCTCCCAGCAGCAAATGGAGACTTTCCATCCCAAATTACTTTCAGTTCAGGCCAGTTCAAGGTTGGCATCAATAACAGTTTTTCTCCCTGGGAACAAAGAAGGACATTATTCTGACTCAGTTGGACTAAATATCTAGTTTTTTGAACAGGTAAAACTAGGCGAGATAAATCCTTCCCTCAAGGACTCAGGCTGCAATTTTGAAGAGATGGAGATCCACCTCTACACGGAGTTCTACCAGCCTCCCTGGTGCCATCCCCGTGAAACACATCATAGACCTGCAACAGGTTTCCTTATTCCACCACTGTATGACCTACAAGACTTGTGTTTGTCCTTGGAAAAGCATTGTACTACCAGTACCTGCATTCTGTGGGACTGAATTGTTTGCCCCGTTGGCATCATCAAGCACTGTGTTGCTCCCACAAAGGACCAGGACTTCACCTCTCCATCATGTTGTGAAATGCATTCAGAATTCTGCAGCAAAACCAATCTTTCATTTTCATCTGAAGGATTTTCCAGTGCTGCCATTTTGTAGTCTTCGCCAGGCATTTTTTACATTCTGAAACTGTGGATAACAGACTTCCATATCATCAAATTACTGGCAGAACAGGCACTACTTGGTATCTGTGCTGGTTTTGTCTGTGAAGGCCATGAACGGAATACACATGCAAGGACAATTTTTAAGTGTAGATATATACTCACGCACAGGCATAAACACGGGTGCTATTGCTGCAAGCAGTTGGAGTGGGTAGGATGTATAGGAAGGTTCAGAGAAGGACAACGCTTTTTTCCATTATTAAGGGTGGTTTATATTTGGGGCTTGGCTATCAGAGTTCTTTTCACAGTTGGTGATGTAGGAGGAATTGAAAGTATTGTAATGATAGTCTACAGTAACAAGCAACATAATGCTTATATAATGAATATATACTTTATGCAGACAAGAGGTAACCAGAATTCTTAGAGGAAGCATTTTCTATCATTTTAATAATCAAAATAAGTATTAGGTAAATAATATTCCAAATAAATAAAATTACATACCCACATACATCTATGCAGGACCAGGTGGCACAAAAGCCTGTTTAAGGTGCTTGATGTTTTTCATCCCTTCTGTCACCTCGTTGTGCATTCCCTCAGATTCATTTTGCAAAGATATTTAAACACCTAAACACATATATTCTTCTATAATGTAAATAGGCCTCTTCTTTCAATGTTTATGTGTATCCACAAAAGTGTGTTGTTAAGATAAAGTATCTGGAAGTGTTTATTCAGTGCCTTACATATACACCATTATTAGATTGACTTGAAAATGTGGTTGCAGCAGGGCCAGAAGTTGGTGGCAGCAAGAAGCTGGTCAGCTAGGGCTCCCCTGCGGTGTGTTGCCTGCAAGGCACAAATGGTGTTGGAGTACCGGTGCTTAGAAAAGACAAGGAAAACAATGTACCAAGGAGAGATCTTGGACGAGCAGTGGCTTGAACAGGTCTGTGGGAGGGAGGCAGGCAGCAGCCAGGCAGGGGAAGGTTAGCATGAGCAACTCTAGCGCACGAAGTCGCCTCTCTGCCCTCCTAATAGGTCGCTGCCTGCCATTAGTCACGCTTGGGCTCCCCTGCGCTCACCACAGAGCCACGATGAACAGGTTGTATAGGACAACAAAGAAGCCTGGGTTCCTACATGTTTTTAAGTCTGTGTCCCTCACGATTACCCACTCAGGTTTTGCCTCTCCGTTACCTCCAACTCCCTGACCCCTGCATCTCTTGGTGATGTGTAGTGCTCCGCTTTGCCTTTGCTCCCTGCCACAAATACTTTTAAAGCCCCTACCAGACTGCTGGCTGAGTAAGGGCAGTGAGCCCTCCATAGCTAGCAAGCACGTACTCATCACCCAGCACACTGCTGCTCCTCACCTCCTCAGACTGCCAAACTGTGGGTGCTTCAGTTTCCTTCTGCAGGACAGGAATAGGATGCAACACTCCTGCCTAAGCACCACAGCTCCTTACATATCCAAGAACTTGTCTAGAGACTTTGTTTTCTCAGAGACCTTTGCTTTGTTGTTAAAATTGCTTGAAATTGGACAGCTGGTTGAAATGTCGATGAGAGAGACTAACATCAGGACAGACAGAAAAAAGGCAGCTCAATCCTACAAGAAAATCGTAACTAAGAGAGTAAAGTTGTCCTTTTTATACCTTCAGTCTGCTGGAAGGCAGAGTCTCTTTCTCCTGGAAGAGACTACAGCCACCATAATCCCTGTCCCCACCACCTTTGGAGTGACTGGCTACACGTCTCTGGTCTCTTTCGCCACTTCTTTATATCTAGTGGAGAAAGAGGAAAGCTACCATGTTTCTCTGAATCTCAGCAA